TCTCCTGCCTCAGCCTCCCAAGTAGCTGGGACCACAGGCACCCGCCACAACATCCGGCTATTTTTTGGTTGCAGCCGTCATTGTTGTTTGGCAGGCCCAGGCTGGATTCACCCCGCCACCTTAGGTGTATGTAGCTGGCGCCTTAGCCACTTGAGCCACAGGTGCCGAACCAAAGAAAATGTTTTTTTGTTTGTTTGTTTGTTTGCAATTTTTGGCCAGGGTTGGGTTTGAACCCGCCACCGCTGGTATATGGGGCCGGCGCCTTACTCCTTGAGTAACAGGCACCACTCAAATAGCTAAAGCAATTTTTTTTTTTTGGCTAGGGCCAGGTTTGAACCCGCCACCTCTGGTATATGGGGCCAGTGCTCTACTCCTTGAGCCACAGGTACCACCCCTGTGGTTTTTTTTAGACAGATTCTCACTATGTCATCCTGGGTAGACTGCTGTGGCATCACAGCTCACGGCAACCTCAAATTCTTGGGCTTAAGCAATTCTCTTACCTCAGCCTCCCAGTAGCTAGGAGCCCGCCACAATGCCCGGCTACTTTTTGTTTCAGTTGTTCATTGTTGTTTTAGCTGTCCCCGGGCGGGATTCAAACCCACCAGCCTCAGTGTATATGGCTGGCACCGTAACGGACACTGAGCCATCATCCCTTTTTTTCTCCCCATCTCTACCCCTACACTATCTCAACTCCCTAGTTATCCTGGCATGTCACTTGATTTTTTCCCAACTCTACTTCTACCTCCCTAATAACTAGGCATGGTAATTCAGACCTGGAGTCCCAATAAAGCTCTGCCATTTTTTATTTTACTCTTTTTTTTTTTGGAGACAGAGTTTTATTTTGTCGCCCTCGGTAGAGTGCTGTGGTGTAATAGCTCACAGCAACCTCAAACTCTTAGGCTCAATTGATTCTCTTGCCTCAGCCTCCCAAGTAGCTGGGACTGCAGACGCCCACCACAACACCCAGCAACTTTTAGAGACAAGGTCTCACTCTGGTCTCCAACTCCTAAGCTCAAGAAATTCTCCTGCTTTGGCCTCCCAGAGTGCAAGGACTACAGGTGTGAGCCAGCGCACCCAGCCTGATTTTTGTAGAGGCACGGTCTCTAAATTGTCAAGACTGGACTCAAGGCTCAGTGTCTATAGCTGAATGGTTATGGTGCCAGTCACATACACCCAGGCTGGCCAATCGAACTTGGCCTGGGCCAGCTAAACAACAATGACACATGCAACAAAAAAATAGCTGGGCACTGTGGCAGGTGCCTGTAGTCCCAGCTACTCAGGAGGCTGAGGCAAGAATTGCCTAAGCCCAAGAGCTGGCGGTTGCTGTGAGCTGTGACTCTACAGCACTCTACCAAGGGTGATAAAGTGAGAGTCTGTCTCAAAACAAAAAAATACTAGTCTCAATCTCCTGGCCTCAAGTGATCCTCCCACCTAAGCCTCCCAAAGTGCTGGGAATACAGGTGTGAACTATTGAACCTGGTCAACATTTTTTTTTTGAGACAGATCCTCAAATTGTCACCCTGGGTAGAGTGATGTGGCGTCACAGCTCACAGCAACCTCCGCCTCCTGGGTTTAAGCAATT